ATTAAAGAATTTCTAGATTGTCATCACATCAGGTGAGACATGTTGGAGACTTTTTAAGTTAAATATCTTTATATATTCAATTGTTAGAATTTTCTTCAAATGTATTTCTTAAATTGTAACATTAATTTTATTACAGTTGTTGTATTGTTTGATGATGGAAACCTAGCGTATAAATATTGTGGAGCAATGGAGTAGAAAGGTTAGAGTACCAAACCCACGAGAAATTTCAATCAATCAAAGTTTTCAATTGTGCTACAGTCTACAGACAAGGTAGAGTGAACCTCCATTATGGAAAGTACCCTCCATATGTTTGAATTATGCTACTACAAGCAAATACTTCAAAACGACGTCATTTTTTGGAACATGTCTGAGGCTATAATGAGGTATTTACATTAAATTCTATTAGAGATAAACAAGACCGATCTATAATTTATGGACGGGAAGTATATGTTTATTCGATTGGAGGTGAAGTATATCATCGACTTAGTAGCTTGTTACCTTCTGAAGAGAACATACCAAAATTTTCTCAACTCTACCTCTATGACACTGCAATGAACTCCAAAATCGGTTAGATTTTTTTCCAAATATCCAATTTCAAATCCTTTTGCATGATTCAACTATTCAACAATTGCAAGAGATGTTAGACTCAAGAAATATCTTAGTAAAGACTTTTCGATCTACAAGCGACAGATTGAATGACAATACTGTTTGACAAGTTGAAATTAAGTTGCTTGCTAAAAAGAGAAACAGATGGTAGATAATATGATTTTCCATATGCAAATGAGGTTGTTGCTTTAATTGTTGATTATACTATGGAGCAAACATTTTCTCCTGATATTATTGTCCACCATTAAATTCATGAACTGGATCAAATTAATATGTATCATCTAAGTTTAATGGCTTTACAATACCCATATTATTCCCTCATGGTGAGGATGGTTGACACTCAAATATCCCATATTATCACAGTGAAGATGTTGATGGCCTCAACAAGAAGAATGTGTCTCAATGTGAATTTTTACAATTCTGGACTTCAAACAAGATTGCAACAATCTGATTCATATGTAGTGTGTGGAAAATTATAACAACATTGATACCAAAGTCTTTTTGATTCTTATTTGAGAGGTGCTTTGTACACCTATATGAGCAAAAAATATGTGATTTTAACTTCATTACATACATGTAGTATCTATATAAGTATGTAAATCTTGACCGTGAGAAATAAATTAAAGTGTGATGTACGAAGTTCATTTGAATGAGTTTGATTTTTTTTTTCTTTTAATTACGAATTTTGATTTTTTCGGTAATTGAATAATTTGGGTTACTTTATATTATAAAAAATACATCTTGCTTTGTATAATATGTATTGTTATTTATTATATTCACCAAATTCATCCGGCCAACGGACTGCGTATGTATTGTCATTTGCCTTAGAAGAATAAAGTAGTCTCAAAGGAGAATGAAAAATTCAAAAAGCTATTGAAAACAATTAAACATCAATGCTCTTGGCATGGATGGAAATCAATGCTCATTCTTTTTAGGCACGAAAATATACAGTTGAAAAAGATTTTACCTTTCGCATGTCGCTGCATTTATTCAGAGGTTGTCGTTCTTATGAAGAAATTAGAACATTTAATGATGTTGTTCATCATTCCTTCCAAAAAGCATGTTATGCTCTTCGGTTATTGGCAGATGATGATGATGACGAGTGGAGTGACTGTTTGAAAGAAGTTGCATTTTGGGTTCTAAATATAAAGTTAGAAATATGTTTGTCACAATTCTTATTCACTATCAAAGGATCTAATGTGCAATTTTTGTGGGAAAAATTGAGAATTATTGAACGATAATATCCTATTTAATCGTAAAGAGAGTTAAATTTTTATAACTTGCAACTTTATATTGATGAGAACAAATAGAAATGCTTGGTGGAGATAGATAAATTATTGCAGAAATATTGAAAGTCTCTAGCTGATTTCCAAGGTTTGCCTATTCCAATTCCATCAAGAGCCATGAGGTCGAATTCAGGAAATTGAATAATCACTGAGGAGTTAAATTATAATGAAAGAGATTTAATGAAGAAGTTCAGTACATTGTATCCAAAATTGAAGTCAAAGCCGAAGAAGACATTTAATGAAATTATTCAAGCTATGGATGAAGAAAATGGGAACTGCTTCTTTGTTGATGGATTTGCGAGTATAAGGAAGACATTTATTTTAGAAAGCTATTTGTGTGAAACTACGAGCAAAAAAGAAAATAGTGTCGTGCATTGTTTCTTCTGGTATTGCAGCTTTACTAATGATTGGAGGTAGAACTGCTCATTCTCAATTCTATGTTTCAATTGGTTGTGACTCAAAATCAACATGTCATATTGAACAAAGAAGCGAAATTAATTCTTATTGCTTCTCTTATTATTTGGGATGAAGCTCCTATGGCTCATAATCATAATATTGAAATAGTGGATAGAACTCTTAGAAACATTTTGCATGTGAAACATCCAAACATCGAGGACATGACCTTTGGAGGAATGTCTGTTGTGTTCGTCAGAGGTTTTCAGCAAACATGACCAGTAATTGGTAAGGGAACCCGAGTAGATATTTCAAAATTTTCTATCAAGAGGTAGTACTTATGGCCTTTCCTGGAGTTTTGAAGCTCTCTCAAAATATGTGATTGTGCCCCAAAAATTGTGTCCCTAAAGAAGCTATTGAGATTGAAGACTTCAACTTATGGATTATGAAGATTGGTGTGGTGATGGAGTGGGGACCAATGTTTTGGGTGGAGCCAATGATCTCAATTCGAACTTCTTTGAGCATTCAACATGATCAAGGAGATGAAATTGTTGATATTGTGAATCATGTGTACAACGATCTCCATTTGAATTATAGTGAAGGAACCTCTGTGGTTCAGCGTGCTATATTGGCTCCACATCATGAAAATGTATCGAAAATTACTAATTGTGATTAAAAGGGTTCCAAGAGATCAAGAGGAAGATTAATCAGTGGAGTTTCCCAATACATTGAAGATTAGTAATTTCTCATACCATTCTATTAGGTTGAAATTTGGATGTCCCGTTTTTATTAAGAAATATGGATAAAAGTAAAGGTCTCTGCAATGGTACAAGGATGATAATCAAGAGACTTGACACATGCTTTATTGAAGTGGAAATTCTAATAGATACTCAAATTGGTGATAGGGTCTTCTACCTCAGATTAAATTGTCTTCTCATTACAAAAGTATAGATTTCACATTGGTTAGCAGACAATATCCTATTGCAGTTTGTTTGCAATGAAAATTAACAAAAGTCAAGCACAAGCAAATTTTGATCTTTTTAACACAAATTACTTTCGGGAAGACAAATGGTATTTACGATGAGTCGGTTAGGATGTCGCAAAACACTATGATGTTGATTCTTTTGAATGATTGAGTATTTTTAATAATTTCGATTCTTTTATGTTACCAATAAATTTGAACGTTCGATAATTTAAAAGATTTAGATTTTCTTATACTAACAAAGCAGCGCAAATCTTACATACAAATTGCTACTACTATTTATGCAACTGGAGAATGAATCTGGCCAATCCATCGGACCCGTGACTAGTATAATATAAAACCAAAATTCCAAACCGATGAACAAGCCCAGGAAACTATCGAAACAAAACGAACCAAGCCCGTTTACCAGGATGAACACAGAACACTGACTGGTGTTACCAATCAAACACACCAATTATTGTCTCAGTCGGCCCTAAAAAACAATACCAAGCAGTCTCGGCTCAAGAAACATTTCTAATTAATAATCTGAATTGCTATTTATAGCCCTAACTTTTTCTTATTTATAGCCCTAAGAGAATATAATTACTATTTTACCCTTCCTTCCTTTTAAAATATTGAACTTGTTACAACTCCAACCAAACACTCCCTTCCCTCCCAATTCAACTATCACCGGATTCCTCCCAAATATTCTCGCCGGCGACGACGACCTCTCGCCGGAGACGTGACTCGCCCCTTCTCTCCTGTCGCCGGTTTCCTCTCAAATACGACGACCACCTCTCCCCGGAGACGACGACCTCTCGCCGGAGACGAAATCAGAGCGCTTCGCGAAGGTAATTTTTAATTTTTGCACGAAGGAGGTGACGATCGGCCGTTTGACACGCCGGCGACGCCTGGGCAAGACGTCGCCCTCGCCGCCGGCGGTCAAATACATTTTTTTTAATTTAGGTTAATTATCTATTATAATTATTATGATTTAATGTAGGTTAATTATATACTTTAAATTAATTTAAAAAATTACTTTAATTATCTCCTTTAATTATGTAGGTTAATTATATGCTTTAATTATTATGATTTAATGTAGGTTAATTACTCTAATTATCTGTTTAAATTATGTATGTTAATTATCTGCTTTAAATATGTTAATATTTAATATATACGAAAATTATGTCGGTTAATGTTTTCATTTAATTGAAATTAGATAGGAAAGGTAAATTTTAATTGATAAATATAAGAAAGTTTAATAATTTATATATAGAATTTTATTTCATAGAAAGTATTAATTGTTGTACGAACCTTAAATTGCAATTGACAATTTAAGCAAGAAAATTAAGTTAGAATTCATCGTGAAATACATTACAATTTTGAACATTATATTGTGATGGGAATTTTATTGTAATTGAAATTATATACGAATGTTAAATTATAATAGACAATTTAAGCAAGAAAATTAAGTTAGAATTTATTGTGAAATACATTATAATTTCGAATATTATATTGTGATGATAATTTTATTGTAATTGAAATTATATACGAATGTTAAATTATAATAGACAAATATAGGAACCTTGAACATTTGAATATAAAAATTTATTATATGAGAACTAACAATTATCATATGAACATTGCTAATATGAACATTGCTAATAACTATTACATGATGATAATAATCTGACAATAATTTTAATTCAAATTTTAATAGGTAGAAAATGGTGGATACAAGAGGAAAGAAGAAGATGAAGGAGGTAGAGCCGTCGAGGGTGACCAACCGTATAGTATTGAGGTCGCGTCGTGAGGAAGCCGAGAATGAGCGTCGACGTGCTAGACTTGTGGAGAATCCTTCTCCCCCGCCTCCCGTGCCTTTTGACTTAGATAGAGCTTTTGAGGGAGTGGATGAGTATGATGGCAGTGATGACAATTATGATGACTTCCCGGATGTAAATGATGCTTTCTTCGAGAGCAACCATCCGAGTGCAGGTGGTTCTAGTGGACCTAGATTAGAGCCCGAGGCTCCTTTTGTGTCTTCTTCGTCCTCTCAGTTTGTTCATGTTAGACGTGGGGCTCGTGGTCGTTTTGAGTCATCACGACCCGATTCGGAGGAGGGCAGCACTAGTAAGAGGAAGAAGGCGAGAGAAGCTGATTCGTGGATTCTCGACAGGAGTGGGCCGGGGGGGGGGGGGGGCTATCGATCATAGCCTGATTCCTAGTTTTGGAGCTCATGTGGCTTATCGATTATGGGATGATGGTTTAGGGGCTTGCCGAATGGATTCATTCAAGTTGTCGACTAGAGCATTGGCAGTCAATTATTTGAAAGATTACAAATTTCAGAGTGAGGGTGCTGCAGCATTGGTTGAGAGGACATGGTTGCGCAAGTTGTTGGACTGCTCGATCCAGCACTTGGACGGACCTTTACTTGTGGCATTTGTGGAGAGGTGGCAGCCTGACACCAACACCTTTCACATGCCTTTTGGAGAGATGACCATCACGCTCCACGACGTTGCAGTGTTGCTTGGGATTCCAGTCGGCGAAGATATGGTTGTAGGGAATGAGAGTGTGAAAGCACAGTTGTGTGAGATGCTGAGGGTCGAACAATTGAATGAACGATCCAAGCCTTCGCTTAAGAGTGGGGTTTGGTGTGTGTTGAAGCTATGCAGCAGGTTGGGAGGTTTCGGGAAAGAGATTATGAGGTACGGATGTTCTTGACCTGTTTGTTGGGGTCCACCTTGTTTGTGGACAGGAGTGGGGATCGGGCGCAGGTTTGGCCTCTCCAGTTCTTGGGGGACACTAGACGGGTGAGGAAATATTCTTGGGGGTCTGCTACACTCGCCTATTTGTATAGGAAACTCGGCATGGCGTCTCGAGCGGATTGCAAAGGCATGGGTGGCTGTTTGACCCTCCTTCAGAGCTGGATCTACGAGTACTTCCCGTGTTTACGAGATCAGAAGTTGGGGACACGTGGATTGGTGTGCGGGGAACCTTTTGCTAAGAAGTGGGAGGGGGTGAGAATTGGAGGTGGGGCACAGTTGATGAATGAGAGGTTGGATCACTATCGTCAAGTACTGGATAATATGACAGATGAGTTCGTTTTTTGGTGCCCATTCGGCCTCAGACCTGGTGAGATGGTCTCTCGTTCTTTGTACTCTGGTGTCATTCGGTGCATGAGTGTTGAGGAGATGTACGATCCCTCGCGTTGCCTCCGTCAGTTTGGGTACGTACAGACCATCCCCTCAGATCCGCTTCCTCCAGTTGATGTTTGCCGATCTGCGAATGTCAAGATGTACTCCTTGTCCTACGGTCCCGGCTTGAGTGAGCTTTGGAAGGCCCCTCACTGCCACTCGGTGCAGTTGGATAGCGGCAACCAATCCTCCCTCCTTGTCAGTTAGAATTGCATTCGGTATGCGATCTCCAAGCATGTTCTGTAACTCTCTCAAAAGCCAAACATAAGAATCTGTGGTTTTCCCCTCCATCATAGCAAATCCAATGTTGAAGTTCCTCTTGACGGGGGTAACACCAATAACCTCAACCAGGGGCCTCTTATATTTGTTCGTCTTGTATGTGGAATCAATCAAGATTACATGGTACCAAGCACTCAAAATCCGAACGGACTCAGGGTGAGCAGGAAAAAGGTGAGTAAGGTGGCGATCATCATCACGCTTGTAGCCAATGTAGTACCCCATCTCTCTCGCATGGTGTAACGTCCAATCCGAAGGGGTCATGCCACTCAATCTCTCAATCCTTATATTTGCTGTCATGTTGTAAAATTGTCGTTTGTTATGGTGAGTACCATACTTTTGGTTGATAGTTTGCATCATTTTTCGAGGAGGAACACGAGCCCATTCCATCTCCTTCATATCCTTTAGCTCTTCATTAGTAAAAGCATTCCTCTGAGTGTGGCCTTCGGGATAAAGCTCTAATGCATGGTTGTGAAACCCACAAAATTGTCCCGGATTGTGATTGTCCTTCACACCATCAATCATCCAAGTCTTATCCTCCGGGAGTCCCACCAATCTCACTCGAAAACGACAACCATCTTTAAGTGACTTTGTGTTGGATCGTCCTTTCTTATCCGAATCTGGGACATATGTATTGTTCTTATATCCACGATGGCAGTGAAGATATATTCGGGGGTACTTCTCGCCATCATTTGATTTGGTTGATGAATGTGTCAAAAAGAACCCAAGATCTTTTGCAATCACTTTCGCAGCTTCCATAGCTTCATTCCATTACTTATATCTTGTATTTGTTATGAAAAATTGAGTATAATCAACTTTGTCTCCCTTATCTTTCGGATCTCCCTAAAATAAACACATTTATCTTATTAGTGATACTAATTTTGAAATGTTTGTTGTAGATTAAATTATTCCAATTTGATATAGATTGAGTCTTACATAAGTTTCAACACTTTTCATGACTTGTAATGTTTGTTGTAAATTGAATTCTTACAATTTGAAAATGGATTGAGTCTTATGTAAGTTTTAGAAAATTTGATGACTTGTTTGCAATATTAGATTTTATATTTATCTTCTTATTAAAAAATATTAAACATGTTATTAACAATTATTCAATATTCGAACATAAACTAATCCAATACATTTTCAACAAAAAATTAGCATATTTAGCATGATTAACTACCAAATCCTAATATTTCAATATGCAATAAAAAGTTTTTAACAAGTAGACACGTACTCATTAAATTATCAACAACACAACGTTGTTAACAATTATTCAATATCTGAACATTAACTAATCCAATACATTTTCAATAAAAAATTAGCACATTTAGCATGATTAACTACCAAATCCTAATATTTCAACATGCAATAAGAAAATTTTTAACAAGTAGACACGTACTAATTAAATTATCAACAAGATAGTAAAATCAATAATTCAACATTTTTCAAACAATATGTATCATTGTAAAGCAAATATTTAAGCATATTATCAATTACTAGATTTCATCATAACAATAAATAATTCAACATGATTCTAAAATTAAAAAGTTTAACTCACTAACCGTGTTACTCATTATCTGATGTAGTGATATCTAGAAGTCCGAACTTGACCAACTTCAAGAAATACATACAAGAAAAATATTTTCAGTAATACTAACATAGTTTCAAAATATAAAAAAATGAAATTCAAGAAATTCATTCTAAAAATAATATTATAGCAAATCCATCCTAAAAAATATGATAATTACAATATCATAAAATAATAAACTACAATAAAATCGCTAAATATTCTTCAAAGTCTAAATTATTGTTAGTAAACATTAACTTAGTTTCAAAATAATAAAAAATGAAGTTAAAGAACTTCATTCTACAAATAATATTATAAAAAATCCTACTAAAAATATGGTAATTACAATATTCATAAAATAATAAATTACAATAATAAAAACACTACATATTCTTAAAATATGGCAATTAAAAGTCTAAATTCAGGAAACATTAACTTAGTTTCGAAATATGTAAAATTAAAATTCAATAACTTCATTTTAAAAATAATATTAGAACAAATTTTTCTAAACAATATGATAATTAAAAAATCTAAAATAATAACCGAAAAATCTAAATTAATATCTATTTAAAAAATCTAATATACTTCACAAATTTAAATTAACAAAAAATTTAAAATAAAATAAAAAATCGGCGACGTCCCGGCAGGACGTTCGTCCGTCGTTGTCGGGTAATTTGCCGATGTACCTCGTCGGAGAAAGGAGCTGTCGTCGTCGGAAAGTGGCGGTCGCCGGCGGGAGGTGGCTGTCGCCGGCGGCGAGTATTGTAGGATTGTGTTTGGAAAAGTGTTTGAATGTTTTGGTCTTGGAATGTGTAAAGTAAATGTATTTAAATGTTATGGGTATTATTATACTTTTTATAATTTAGGACTACAAATAAAAATAATTTAGGGCTACAAATATTACGTCCCATTAGTAATTACTAAAGGATGAGTGTTCAGATGGTTTGAAAAGCCCAAAATAGACGAAGACGGAAAGCAGGGTTTAGTCCTCGGCTCGGACGCAGCTGAACTTGAAGCGCAGTCATGGCTGACTCCTCGGAACTTCTCTGCGAGGTGGCGAAGAAGGGCGACGTAGACAAAGTGAAATCGCTCATCGGCTCCGGAGCCGACGTCTCTTACTTCGACGGCGATGGTTTAACTCCACTGATGCACGCTGCCAAGCTCGGCCATGGCAACGTCGTCAAGCTCCTTCTCGATGCTGGCGCTCCTTGGAACGCTCTTTCCCCTTCTAATCACTCCGCTGGCGACTTCGCCATGGATGCCGGCCACCAAGAAGCCTTCGATATTCTCCTCAATGCTGGTACTAGTGACTTAATTGCTTGCCCACTCTCTCCTCTAGCTTCCGCAACGAATTGTTCATGTTTCACTGTTGGAATCCGCCATTTCTCCCTTGCTGGCCTTTCAAATTTGCTCAAATCTGTTATTCAAGTGCTCGTGGCTTTAAGAAGAGTAGTAGAACTGGCTATTTTAAGCTCTCTGTGTTGTCATATACAGGAATTCAAGCTGAATTGATTCTTGGCACAATTGCAAGGAGAGCAAATGAGAACAACAGCAACTCCAATGGGGATTATTTGGAAGATAGGGTTAGTTTTAGCGAAGATAAGCTCTTGGACTCCCACAGTAAAGGTGTTATGATGGCTTGGGAGAAACCTCTGATGGAGGCACACGCGAAAGCTGTATGCTCAGGAGGTGGTGACATCCTGAACATTGGATTTGGGATGGGGCTTGTGGATACCGCCATTCAACAGTACTCCCCTACTTCACACACCATTGTAGAGGCACATCCAGAGGTCCATGATCGGATGATTCGTTGTGGCTGGGCCGAGAAGGAGAATGTGAAGATTGTGTTTGGTCGTTGGCAAGATGTTCTTCCACAGCTTGGAACTTACGATGGTACATCATGGATTCATTTGTTCTTTTCTGCAGATTGACTGGTTTGAATGGTACTGTAATTGATTAATGTGCTTTTCAGGTATTTTCTTTGACACTTATGGAGAGTATTATGAAGATTTGAGAGAGTTCCATCAACATCTGCCCAAGTTATTGAAGCCTGGGGGGATTTATTCATTCTTCAATGGGCTATGTGGAGGTAATGCATTCTTCCATGTAGTGTACTGTAATTTAGTGTCACTAGAGCTCGAGAATCTGGGGTACTCGACGCAGTTGATTCCCTTGCCTGTCAAGGAATGTTTGCCAGAAGATGTTTGGGAAGGAGTGAGGCACAAGTACTGGCAGCTTGATACATACTACCTCCCCGTCTGCCAGTCTTCACAGGATCCTGAATGAATGTTATCAGAAATCTGAATTCTTGAGAGAACTTATAATTAAACATGGGTTGTTTCTTCTGCTTGAGTTGTGTCTTCTTCTTATTCTTTGTTGATGATCGATTCTCTTAGATCGTGGATGGATCAGCCTACTTATGGTTTTTAGACTGATGTATTTAAGTTGATAAGAATCAAAAGCAATGTTCAAGAAGACGCTAGGAGCTATCTAGGCGAGGAGGCACCGCCCAGCGCCCAGGCCGATTAGTCATTGCCTAGGCGAGATTAAACGTTGAAAAAAAATATGTTAGATAAGCCATATTCCACAAAAATCCAAGTACCCATATCATTATTCATCCATTCATATACACATACAACCCTTTTCCACAATCCCAAACATCCTAAGTCGCCGACCATGAGGAGAGATCTCACTACTGGTCTATGAGAGGGAGCGGCTGGTCGAATGGAAATGGGAAATAGAATAGGGTTTGGGATTTTCACAAAAAGGCTACACTTTCCCCCTTTATTAGTTGTTCTGGGCGTCGCCCACCAGGGTGAAAACGCGCCTCCGAATGCCTAGGTGCCTAGATCAATCGCCCAGGGCTAGACGCGGCGATTTCCTCCTGCCCAGCTATTAATCGCGCCTAGGCGAGAGATTAACCATTCTTCTTGAACACTGATCAAAAGTAGGCTGATTATGAAAAAAACTGAATCAGAAGTTGCCCTACATTCGACTATTGCTCGCTGAAAAACCTGCTTGTGTTTTAGTTAACAATGTCCAGTGAGTGGTTGCCACACTGAAGGGAGGATTAGTAACTGGCGTCTGGTGGAGTCTTAGGGAGATTTCCTTTATTCTTGCATTTTCCCATTATTTGGGATATGGAATGGCTTCTATCTTGTCTTTCATACCCACATTTGAAGATCGGTCTGCTGATTTCCTATCATGCCAACTGGAGTCTTTCATTAGCAAGGAAACTCCACTACCAAATTGTCCTTGCACAGAGCTTATGAACTATTGAATACAGGATTTTGATGTTGATCTTTGAAGCCATTGACAAATTTCTGTCCCTGGGTAGATGCTTTCGCACACAGCATGCTTTGCTCATCCCTTTTTATCTTCGTTCAAACGCATAGTTTCTGCGAATAGAATGGACCCTAGTCTCTGGTGTAGAGATGGATCTCCAGAAAGCCTAAAAGGTGGAAAGAGCCAGTAAGCTGTTAGAACTGTGGTGTGGCTAATATAATAGTGCATACCTTAGGGGTCGTTTGGAGAGCAAGATTTGGATTATGGATTTATTGAATCCATAGATTTAGTAAAATGTTAAGTTTTTTTGTTACATTTTGTATCGTGGATTGTAGGTTTAGAGATTTCAAGTCTCTAAAATCTCGAGATATTAAATCTCTCATAACTAGAGAGATTCTACATCTTGATTTTGGAGATTTTCTTTCTCCTACTATATCTTTTTTTTTTCATTTATCCCACTAAATACCCTTACCAATAAATTCTCAAAAGTTTTTGAGCCAATCTAATTATGTTGGTTGAGGATAAACATGTCATTTAATACAAAAATAGAAATTTTTTCATTGGATGTTAACAATCGTAGTTACCAAACAATGAACATTTTCAAAAAAAATTTCAACAATCCGGAGAGTTAAAATCTTTGGATTGTCTAGAATCTATAGATTTAGACTTCAATTCTCCAAACGAGCCCTTTAGTGTTTTCTTGGTCATGGATTATATTGCCTCCAATGTATTAGTGTAAATGAAGTGGCTATCACCCTTTGAACTTGCTTTCCCAATTTCCCATTTGTACAAGGCCATTCTCTAAACAAGGTACATGAACGAAAACTCCTTGAATTGCACATGTGATTACTATTATGGGGTTTCTGTACAATTATTGGAAACCAGTCTTCTCTGCCTAATAGTCTCGCAGAGGAAACTATGAACACCACAGAAGGGATGGGGCTGCGAAGGGAAATTCTTAACAACAGTAAACATTCTGGCACTTCCTATGAACAATAGTATTTGTTAACTTATTCTTTCTTCCCAAGCCTGAATATCCTTTGCTTATACCCAGCTGAAAGCAATGGGACTGTGAACGACATGCTTTCCATCTGACCATTCCAGATGAGCAAAGCTGGTTGTTCCCGAAGGCATTGAGGTTGCAGTAAACGTCACCGTGTAACTCTTCTTCTCCTTCTCCTGGCCAAAAGTTAGGGTCGCTGGCTCGATTGACATCTTCACTGCCCGAGTCTCCGAAGCCAATTCCACCTTGTATGTCCCCGGAGACCCTACATTGGTTAACGTCCGGCTGTACTTGGCTACAGTCGCCGCCCCACTTCCACCTCCTTTGCCCGAAGCAGTGTTGACAGCGACAGAGAAAGACGGATAGTTTAGGTCGCCCAGACTGTACTTCTTGCTGGAGTCGCAAGTAAATGCTTTGTTCGTTGCCCTCTGGATTAGCTCCGACGTGTAGTTCAAGGCACAGAGGAATTCGAAATAGTCCTCAGCAGTCGCATCGTATACCAGACCGGGATCGAGGGCTGCAACTGGGTTCACATGTCCAGCTCCGTAATCGAATGGCGTGGCTGCTCGACCCGTGGCCACGTCTTGAATGATCGATCCGGTTTTGTAAGCCGTGTAGGCTGTGGTCATGAGGGCGGACCGGATGGCCGCAGGGCTCCAGTCCTGGTGAGCTGCCTTGACCAGAGCTGCTAAGCCGCTCACGTGTGGGCAAGACATGGATGTTCCGGAAATGATGTTGAAGCTCACACTCCTTGTGTCGTTGGCCAGTCCGGTTGGACCTATTGCCCCGGTCCAACCGGCCAGGATGTTAACCCCCGGCGCTATTACATCAGGCTTCAGAACCTCCGGAGTGATCAGGTTGGGACCTCTGGAGCTGAACGCTGCAACCACCGGAGATGGCTCGACCCCCACGTGGGTCCCGCCGGAGACAATCGTGGCCATGGCCTTGGGGTCTGAAGCAGCGTACGCTTTGATTTCGTCGGCGGATTTCTGCCCGACGGCGGACGACGGCAGGAGGTGGGAGTCTGCAACCAGCTCCTCACCGTACAACTCTGTATTCGCCAGAATCATTCCTACCCCACCGGCTCTCTTCACCTCCAGACCTTTCTGAACTCTGCTGCTGCCTCCACGGTCACAAATCACAATCTTTCCGGCGACCTTCTCCGCAACTAAGCTATCCGACAAGCACAAGTTCCCTGACGCCGAATCACTCGCGTTAACCGCGTTGACCAAAGGAACCAGCATGTTCGTCAGCGGCTTCCCGCTGTAGAGCGACGCCCCAGTAAAGTTCTTCCCGTTTCCGAGGCTGACGTAAGAGGGGAAGCTCCGATCCAGTGTTCCAGCTCCCACGGTAGTTATCCATGGGGCGACGTTCGACAAGCTGCCCTGGCTTGGCCCGCCGTTCCCCGCCGAGCAAGAGACGAATACCCCCCTCGCAGCGGCGGAGAAAGCTCCGATCGCCACCGTGTCCCTGTAGTAATCCGACATCCCACCTCCGATTGACATGGACATCACGTTGACGCCATCTTCCACGGCTTTCTCCATGGCGGCTAAAATATCCGACCCGAAACACCCGCCAAGCCAGCACACTTTGTAGATGGCCACCCGAGCTTGTGGGGCCATCCCTCGAGCAGAACCGGACGCGAAGCCGAACAGGTTAGCTCCGGACACGACCGAACCGGCTGCGGTGGTCGACGTGTGGCTGCCATGGCCATCGTCGTCTCTCGGTGACTTGGATTCCACGGTTTCATCAACAGGTCCGAAAGCTGCTTCGTATCCTTTCAAGAAGTACCTCGCTCCAATTAATTTCTTGTTGCATTTTGTTGAATCGAAGTTTTTCCCCACCTCGCAGGTTCCTTTCCAGTTGCTTGGGACAGGGCCAAGCCCTTTATCGTTGAAGCTCTCCAGCTCCGGCCAGGCTCCAGTGTCGAGGACTCCAACGATCACCTCGCTCACCGATCCTGATGCTGGCAAGAGAGCTTCACTTTGTTCCAGCCCGAGGAATTTCGGGGTTCGGGTTGTGTGGAGCTCATAGATGGTTTCAGGTGTAACCGAGAGCACTCCAGGCTGTTTCTCGAGTGACTCTGCTTCCTCGGGAGAGAGTGTCGTGGAGAATCCATGGATGAGTGTGCTGTAAGTGTAGAGCATGCCGGCGGATCCTGATGCGGTTTTGAGAGATGAACCGTACCATTGTTCATGGTCGTCGAAGGTTTCTGGCATGGTGGATTTGTCCATGTGGATTATGTACGTTTTCTTGGCAGAGTTCTGGATCCTTGCTTCTGCTACTACCACGTAAGTGAAGCAGAAGCAAAGGATTGCAGCCACCAATTGAAGCCTGAGCTTAGTCATCTTCATGATTCAGCTAATGAGGCTTTTTTGTGGTTGCAGGGGAGGATTGATGAACGGAGACTACAGGGGTTTCTTCTACTGCATAGAGCTTGAAGAGATTCTCTTTGTGATCCTTCTGAGGCAAGGATGCATCTCACTCCCATTATAATGCTGATTAGGTACGGCCCCACAACTGATTAATTATTCTAGTTGTGCTCATTGTCATGTTAATTAAAGCATCCTTGACTAATTTGTACGTACTCTTTGTCTAGTGAAATACTGACTGAGACTGCTAGTGGGTAGGTCTTTTAACTTTCATAAATAACTGGCGATTGATAAGCAAAGTTTCTAGCTTTTTGCTTTTCCCCCCCCATGTCTGCGAATCTGTCAAAATTGGCAATAATGCCGTCCACCTATATTTCTTGTCCTTACTGCATACCATTCAGTCATGAGTTCGTCTTTTTTTATTTTTCACTGTTGAGAAGGAATATAGAATGACATCCAAATCTGCATGATTGATCATTAGGGTTAATCTCCATAACTGTGAATCTCATCAGTGATGGTGGATTTGGAGAATGATTTTATCTCAATAATCACATCCATCAGGTTAAGCCCATGAAAGATATCCTGCTGCTGGTGGGTTCAATCATGCTAACTCGCCCCCACCTGCATTCGGCTGAGAACAGATGGTAGCATGAAAGAAGACCACACAAGTTTTTTTATAAATGTTGTTCATTTATCATCTCAAAGAGTCCAATCTTTCCCTATCCTCCGTAGCTTAGTGGATTCATTAGATGGACCACTTGCAGATAATACGAAGGAGTGGCCATTATTGAGCTTTGCATAACTCTTGGGCAGCTAACAGAGTCATCATTTAACTATTTGAGCAAGTTCCTTGTGAATTATTAGTTTTCCCTATTTGCAGATTCATTATGGTGATTCATTATAGTGATTCGTAGAGAATTTCCCGGTATTGATTACTTCCTTATGGGGCTATTCATGATGAACCAAGACATGATATATGGAAATTGGTTTTACTTTGGTGATGGTTTTGGGCTAGCTAGACGCTCCTGCTAAGCTGCTTTTCCTACCTATAATTGTAGAAAGTAAAGACAAAGGCTTTTGTCCCTTCTTGTGCAGGTGGAGGACAGACTACCCCGAAAAGGGCAGCCATTACCATAGAGACACGGAGGTTGTGTGCTCACTTTTTCGGGTAAAAGGGAAAACTTTCTTTCAGATCAGTTAACTAGTGCTTCTCTACGCAATATTCAAAAATCAAATCTCAAAAATTCGTAAGATCTTTTGTTATGGGTTTTCATCGTTTCACTTCCTTTTCTTATGACAGAAACTTATACGTTAAAGACTACTCCGACTCCATCAAATACTCAAAATTACACGGGAGCGTCAGATATACACCCTCGAAACGGTGGGCTATGGGAAATTTACAGTTTCACTATTAAAAACTGTCGTTGTTGATTGTTTTTATTTGCAATAACATGAGCCAACTACACTACACAACTAGATCTGAATCTTCCTAGTTGCAGTTAGAATCACGAGACCTGCTTTGAAATGATGCTTTCCTGCTAAGCATTTATCATTGCTCAGATCATGGTGGTGGTGGGTGATGGACTAGTGTGTAGGGGGAAAGGATAGTGGGGGAGAGTTGTTTTTAGGCCGAATTTCATAGATGAGATTAGGATGAAGCTCAATGTGCTTTAATTGTACTGAAATTCTAGAAGTTAGGTATCTCCCAGCAGACATAAACTTTAATAAAATTGTAATGTTGTGCTATTAATAGACAATCAGCAGTGTTAAGAAAAAGGAATTATTGGAGGGAGGAGGGTTTAATCATAACAGAAACTTTGATAGTGTTTTGTGGTTGTTTGCTCCTTACATTCACAAAGCTCTCTGCCTTAAATTTCTTTTGGCCTTTTTGGCGCTTTGTGATTAATGTTGATACTTTATTAGGGCATATAGCTGGATTGGACCCCTCCCGTCCCCCTTTTTCTTCTCTTCGTCGCCACCACCAATAATTGCTTGTTGCTTATTTAGGAGAGTTGGGTTAGGGTAACTGTTAGCCATTTATCTACAGCTTCTGGATCCAAATAATTCTGCAGAGTTTTGATTTCTGGAGATTGACAGTATAATCTTACGATTTTTATTCTTACAGAGTTTCCACTTTGTGTATGTATGTTAAAGATGACGAAGTAATTTGGTTCTGCAACAAAATTTATGAGCAACAAAATTTATGAGTGAAGGAGAATACATAACCCTTGCTTCTTGTTATGCGTACCTAGTTATCTACACGATTAAATGTTATCCTAATTTTACTAAACTCCTCATAACTTAAAAGTTCAAATTACTTAACCGTTCTTTTTTGTTCTTTTTGTATTGTGTTCGTTATATTCTAAAACAAGAACTAGAGAAAGGCACAAAGGTTATTTTTAATTTTAAGTTAGAGCGAATTACGTAAATGGCAAGAGTTGTTTAGCAGTTTTCTCTAGTTACTACTCTAATTAATGAGTATGAACGCTGTTCCACCGTTGTATTGATGAGCGATTATTTGGTTCATTGAGGTTAGTATCATATACAAATCGTCTATTTATTTGGTATTTTGGGAAAGCAATGTGAAAATAAGACTATAGAATAGTAGATATATCATATATCATTGAAAGCGTGAAAGCACATTTTCTTTTTGGATAAATGTCACATTTGGTGACTGAGATTACTAAATCGTGCCATGTTTAGTAATTAGAAAAGTTTAATATCAATTTTGGTCACTCGAATTACTGAAACAGGTCACATTTGGTCAATCTCCTGTAGCCTCTGTCCAACTCCGGTCACTCGAATTATTGAAACATGTCACATTTAGTCACTCGAATTACTGAAACATGTCACATTTAGTCACTCTCCAGCTGGACAGAAACTAACGGGAGAGTGATTAAATGTGACCAGTTTCAGTAATTCGAGTGACCAAAATTGATATTAAATTTTTCTAGTGATTAAACATGATACGATTTAATAACCTCAGATGTGACATTTATCCTTTTAGGGCGACGAATAGTAATGCCCTTTCTTTTTCACTCCTCAATGCCTTTTTGGTTCTCATTTTTCAATAAACAATAATATGGAAAACAACAGAAACCAAGTAAAGGGAAAATGCACGCAAACAAAAGGTTTTGAAAAAAAAAATGAGAGGTGCTCTCTCCTCTCTCCTTGCTCTTGGTTCCCTGCTAGGTCGATGGGTTCTGCGGATCGTCTGTGGGGTCTTGGTTACCAGTCTGAAAAACCAGGCGAAAGGTGGAGGCTGGCCAAGTGAAGAGACGGTGCAAGTCAGTAATGGAGGATGTGGCAGCAACGACAAGGCGCTGGAGGTTTTAGCTCCAGTTGTGCACCGACACTCAAGCAATATGCGACGCTTGGCCGCCGGCCGGATCCACCGGAAAAGAGTCCGGAAACGTAAACGGCAGGTGGAGGAAGACGTTGTAGAAGCCATTCAAAGGCAGTCACCAAAGAAATTCAAACGCAGAACAGGAGGTGGGTGGCGGTTCTGGCTGCCCATTTCGCTAGAAATGGAGGGTGAGATGCTAAACCCGGACTCGTCTGTGGGAATGGGCACTCGTAGCCCGACTGTGAAGATGGACTCCGGTCAAGACAATGATTGTATGGTCCGAGTCCACCCCTTCGGGGGAGTCACTGAAAATCAAGAAACGTCACGTGTGTTGACAAATGCAAACCCTTCTCTGGGGTGCTCCGCCGCCTGCGGACCCACACGCTCTCAGGAGGCCAATATTGCCGTCGGATATCGAGCTCCCGATTTGGAGAGAGAAGGGATAGACTGTGGCGGATCGCATCCGAATTTCCTGGTCAGTTGGGGCGGGATCGGGGATTATTTTTTCCGTTCTAAAAATCCAACTCGTAACAGAATTTTTGAAATCAATCTCGTAAGTGGGTTTCCTACTCCCAAACCACCTCTTCGGAACAGGGTTGAGGAGAAAACCCCAAGGATCTGTTTGGGCCTAAAGCAACCCCTCGACTATATATTTCCCCTCATTCGCCCAAATACGCTTGGTCAGTGTAAAAGCCAAGACGTGGTATTGAGGAAGCCGAGAGTGGAACTTGCCCATCAACAGATTGGAGCTGCTACAAGCCCTACAGGTAATGATTTTTCTCAACAAATCCCGCCAGTGGGTGTTTGCTTGCCAATATCTCCTGATCGCATGCTCCATAATCTTGACCCCCCTGTTCCTTGGGTGCGGTCCTCGCCCCGAACAGGAGACAAGAGCCTTGACATTGGTCGTACTTCTGGTAACACGGCTCTTCCTCCTGTTTTTCAGGTTGACACTATGGCGCAGGTCGCGAATGATCAGGTGGTCCAATTCTCCCTTGCTGAGGTCCAATCGGTGAAGTTTCGAACTTCTCGGACCTTATTGGGCAGGCTGTTCACTGAGCACCCAGTGAACCCTACGGAACTTCGGGATGCTTTGACTGCTGCCTGGCAGGTGAAGGGCCAAATTCGGATCTCCATATCAAAGTTTGGTCTCCTGGAGATAGTCCTGCCGACAGATGAAGTGAGGATTTGGGCTCTCAAACGGACTCCCTGGGTGGTGATGGATCGGATTCTCCATCTACGTTCCTGGTCACCCAGAGTCACTAAGCTCACTTTTGAGGAACTGGCCATAGCGCCGTTTCGCGTGCAGATTTGGAACGTGAAAGATGATTGCTGTACGAAACAATTTGGGCAGAAATTGGCCAATGGCCCTATTGGGAAGGTCTTGGATTCTGGTGTTTTTACTTCCGATGACACTAATGAGTGCTTTGTGAAGGTTCGAGCACTCATCGACTTTTCCAAGCCCCTTCGATCGCAACTCTTGGCTGCCAGTGAGGAGCTTGGGTGTTTCTGGGTTAGCCTAAAGTACGAGTTCCTACCGAGTTTTTGCTATTACTGCGGGCGAGTGGGGCATACGAAGCCAGACTGTGCCTTCGATCCTCCTTAAAGGAAGGAGCGCTTCTGCCCGCATATGTCC